AATGATAGTACAATAATAATAAGTTTAACAGAGACATAGTTCTTACATTTCTCCCCTAAGATCATTTGCACCATTGGCATTTTCCTTGTCACGACAGCACATTTCCATAAGAATTAATTTCAATCACCCTCAGCGTTTGATCAAATTTGACTGAGCTAACATGTTTTTTCCTCAAATTAGAAAATATGACACTGATGAAAAAATTTAATTTTCTCAATCACCTAGTGACAATATTTGTTCCTTAGTAGACAAACATGAATGTTTCAGCAAGAGTCTCAAAGCCTTACCACAATTGTTTTGACAACTAAGATATTCAATAAAAAATTGATGGAAAATATAATGCTACATGTAGAAAATAAAACAATGAAGAATCGTTCTATAAAATAGTGATACTCCACAAACACATACTTTCTCACATTATTTGTAAAGACTACGCAATATTATAATGCTACACAAAACTCCAAAAGTGTTTCCAACCAGCAAACATTTTTTTTCTCTGTAGGATTGGAACCCATATCCTTCAAATTAGCATGCTATTTATGTTACCCCTACACCACCAGTCTCACAGCTAAACTAAACCTCCCAAATCAAGTTTGAAAAAACAGATTTCATTAAGGGAAAAAGTGTCAAAACAATGTACTTTTGAAATGTTAATTTTTGGCAACTTTCAAAAATACAAAAATGAGACCTTTGTTTTGGCAAAAATTAAACCTTCACTATTTTTTAAGCGTCACTTGTTTTATGCATAAAAAAAAATTTAAAGAAAAACAAAATTGGAGCGGTTTTTGAGAAAATGTTCTTTTCATAATTTGCATTAATTTCAATCAGAAATTATGTGGAAACTACTAATCGTTTCAAAAACATTATACCTTGCCTTTTTTACAATACACTTCATTTAAAGTTTAGCAGTAGTAAAGTTTGTATTAAAGCACAACAAAATATAACTTTAAATTTTGATTCACTTTGTTAGAATTTTCTAAGCTTAAATATTGCAAAAACTGTATTTATTACACATGGTAGCTTTATTGATAGTATTTTGGTAAATTGTCAAACCAAGATTCATATCAAAGACTGTGATAAACTATATTGTAATTGTCTAGATATATCTAGAGTGATGAAGACGAAGTATTAAGGTATCTATATAGATGCTTATTTGAAATGGTTGGCACTTATAGGTAAACTGTATAGAGAATTAAATACTTTATTTATGTTTGTTACAAATTTAAGATATTATTAAATTACTAAACAACTTCTAGCTACATACCATGTGTTGGTTTGGTCTATAGCTACTAATGATAATATCACCTGGGGGGAGCCAACAATAGCACTCTCATACCCTTCTTTGATTTACAAAAAATCTTGAAAATATTATTTAAAAAACCCATCCTGTACTCAACTAAGGATGTATTCAAAGAAAACAATATTTTAACATCAAGAAGTTTTACATTAAAAAGGCATTGATGTTAAACTTTCCTAAAATCTAAAGTGAATACAGAGAGCTTTTGCTCTACAAGAGAAGTGGTATTTTACCTCCTTTGCAAGTATTCACTTGCAAAGGAGGTAAAATAAGCAACTAGCAAAATCTCGTCATAGATATGTTAGTAGAAAGGCTTATAATGTATCAAGTTCTCATTTGAAAAACTGTGATTCTACCACTTCTAAATTTAGGAAACTATTGAGAGCATAGCTCGTTGAACTTAATCATGATGTAATTAAGGTATTTACACGATCTTCATAAAATTATGTTAACAAAAATTCGTTAGTTATAACAGCATTACTTTCTTATATTCTGTATACTATGTGTTTGTTATTTTATTACTATTTTTCGTGTATAAAAATGACGCATTAAAAATAATGATGAAAATAATGAATGAAAAAATGCACATGACTAAATTTTATTATGACTTTAAAAAACACATTTCATTAAAAAAAAGGAAGAGAGACAGAGAGACAGACAGACAGACAGAGAGACAGACAGACAGACAAAGAGAAAGAGAGAGAGAAAGAGAGAGAGAAAGAGAGAGAGAAAGAGAGAGAAAGAGAGAG